TTATTGCTTGAAGAACCCAATGAGTTGTGCTCCCAACTAGAGCCAAAAATAAGGGCTAAGTCTAGTGTAAAGTCCTGTCTCATAATCGGGCTTTACCAGTCCACATCACGTAATCAATAAATTAGAATCAAAGTAATAGCCCTTTATTTATATTCAAATCACGGGATCTCAACTTTTTAAAACATATATTCAAATAAGAAGGCTAACGGAAGCGTAAACACATTCAAACGACTCAAAATACATATCATTCTCAACCCTGAAAATGGGCCATGTGTTGCGACATGTGGCACAGAGCCACATGCTCTATTTCTAATTGTGTTATGCCTCGCGGCGTGATATGCCATGTGCCATGACGTGCCAATCTAAAATTTTAGCAATCATTTATCAGCAACTAGTTCTTGGGATTGAAATTCAAGATGTTATGCCTAGAGACCCTATTTAAATAAGGGTTTGAGCTTTAGAAATTAATTTTTTTTTAAAGTAGCAAGGCTTGAGAGCCTAGCCCTAATAAGCCTTGTGAAAAAAGGCTAGAGTTCAAGTGACCCTTCGAGCCCTAATAAGCTTAGTTATCTTATACACACACACACACATACATACATATATTTGATTGATAATAACATAATTTGGTCAATATTTATTGTAAGTGATGAAGAAAAAGTTATATAGATAATTGACATTGAAACTCCACCTATATCTTTAACAAGTGGACCTACATTTGAGATATCTAATATTTTATTTTTAGATGATGATGAAGATGATTTAGATTTCATTAATGAAGATTTTAATTTTCATTTTAAATTTAAAATTTTGAATCTTTGTCAAATTGTATGTTAAATTTTATATGAGATTTTGATTTGTTTTATGTTAAATTTTAGAATATTCTGTTTAAATTAAAATGTTGAATTTGTTTTTGGGAAAAGAGGCCTTGAGGACCCGGTCTTAAGCCCTTTAAATAAGAACCAAGTCTTAGAATTAGGTTAAATTTTGGATAACTAAATTTTAGGGCCTGAGCTTTTAAGAGACGAGACTTTAAGAGCCTGACTCATTCTAATTCCACTTCTACCCCTAACAATTGGATACAATTTCATCATATTCTTTGAAATTAAACTAGATATTCTCAAATATTTTAATTCTTTTTTTTTTGTCGACACAAATATTTTAATTCATTCCTGTCCTGCCTTCCACACATTTTGTTTGCATTTAAATTGATGTATTTTTTTATTGCTTCCTCATACAAAAAATCAGGGAGATTAAAAGACCTTGTTGGAGACATGGAGCATAGCGCATTTTCCGAATCTCGAAGATTGAAACTATCGCCAAAAGTGTTGCCAATTTTAAAAGATCTTGTCCGCACTACTTTTGAGGTTTCCAAAATTTCAAGATTAGAGCAGTTCCTTGATTGTTGCAATATACTCCCCCCAATACTTATTTTAAAATATTTTTAACTATTTTACTGTAATTAAAAAATATTTTCTAATTCATTAAATCTGTTTTTAAATGAAATTTTTTTATTATTAATAAAAATAAGAAGACAAATATGCATAATATATGATGAACTAAAAATTTAAATTTATAATAAAAGTAAAATTAAAAAATGATAATAAATAATATTTTATGTGCCTTATATCCAAGATTAAAAAATTATTTTAGATGTTCAAAATTTCTTTAAACTTGTTCAATTTTTAAAAGTATAAATTTATATGTATAAAAAATAATAAAGTATCAGGCGCTTTTAGAATATTTATTAAATTAACTTAAAACTACAAATTTTAAAAAAGGTATATTGTTAAATAATTTTAAGTGTAAAGATTACTTATATATGCTTGGATTAAAAAAGGATGCAAGGTTTAAATAAAATAATAAAAAATATAACTTTAAATCCTTGTACTTTACTCGCATTTTGATATTGGTCTCTGTACTTTTTCTCAATGTTTTTGATCTGTATATTTTTATTTTTTATTGTTTTAAGTCCCTTCATGAAGAAAGTAGAAGAAACTTGAAAGGACCTAAAATAATAAAAAATAAAAGTATAGGAACCAAAAATATTGAAAATAAAATACAAGAATCAATAGCAAAATACGAGCGAAATATAAAAACTAAAAATTATATTTTTTCTAAAATAATTCATCAAAGCTAAAGAAGAAATTTCTTTTTTTAAAAAGTACACCACCCAGTGATTTTGAAAACGGCCAGGGTTGGTCTAGTAATTCCTTATTTAGTAAAACCGAGCATACAGTTTGCTCAAAAAAAAAAAAACCCAGTATACAGAAAAAACAAAAGAAAAACTTAATCGTTAAAAAAATAAATAAATAAATAAAACAAAACAAAACAAAACGAAAAACACCTAGAGATCCGCGTTGCCCAAATTCCATTACAATTTACAAATAAAACAAAAAAGTCACGTTCATAATACCCTAAAGGGAAAATATCATCTAAAGACCCGGTAGCTTTTTAAAAGTTAAGAGAGACCTTATAATTCTGAAAAATCACGTCATTCTTCTATTACCTAAGTGAAAATAAGATGTAAGGGGAAAAGACCTTATTACCCCTGTTAAGTGAACAGAAAACATAGCTGAATGAATATCTGTTTGTTATTAACATATGATTACTTGTCAATATTGAATGGTTGCTTGTTTACTTAAGACCAATACTCATACAATTATTACATGTCCTGTCAATTTTTCAAGTTATTCATGAATGAATGTGTATTTATTAGTTATAAGTGTTGGTCATAAATAAACAAGCAACTATTTAGATATTGACAAGTAATCATACATAAGTAATAAGCACATATTTTTTAATGAACAACTTAAAAAAAAATTACTAAAACATGTTTAATTGTATAAATATTAGTTTTGAATAAACAAACAACCACTTGAATTTTGACAAACAACTATACATAAGTAACAAGGTACCCATTTATTCATGAATAACTTAGAAAAAATATAGGACATGTAATAATTATACAATCATTGATCTGAATAAACAAGCAACTATTCAGGTATTGATTAGCACCGAGATATTATTAACAAGTGAATATTTGTTCAAATGTGTTTCACATTAACTTAATAGGGGTAATTAGGTCTTTTCATCCTAACTGTTAATCTTAGTTAAGTCTAGGGTGATAGTAATATTTCAGGCTTACAGTGGCCTTCGTTATTAAAAAGGTATAGGGGTCCTTAGGTAATATTATTCCCATTTTCAACAGCATAAAAATTTGAGCATTTAGTTTTCAAATTTTCTGCTAGCTGCCCCCACGACGGACCCACGTTCATGTTTGTAGCCAAAAGAAAATTATGCAAGATGACCCCAAGAAATATTAGTCCTCTCCCCTTAAAAAAAATTAATTTTGTCCAGCACCATAAAAAAAATCACTTGCCTCCTTAAAAAAATCCACTTATCCCAGTAAAATATTCATAACCTAAAATTTTATCTATGTATTGTAACCTTAAACAACAATAGTTTTGAAATGAAAAATTAATAATTTAGAAAAATTAATTTGCTTATAAAAAAATTTCTTACATGCAAAAGACTGAAAGAAGGTATATGTTTGAAATGAGAGCTGATAATATAAATTACTTCTCCCAAAGTACTAAGAGTGAATGGTAGATTATTTCTACCAATTTATTTATTTATTTTAATTATAAATTATGCCTCTATAATTCAATTTTCTAGGTCTGTCATTGTTCATGACTGACTTTGCTTTTTCAGCGTCCACAATTTTTCTTTTTTGAGTTGAAGGCAAATTTGCTATAAAATTTTTTTATTAGGTGCAACTAGTATCCTTAATTTTTAATTGGCTTAATGTTAAGTCCAGAAATTTAAAAATGGCACAATGTCACCCCATATTAAAGTTTGACTAATGTTGGCTTAGTCGAACAATTTTAACAAAAGTGAAAGAATAATTTTGTCTGGAAAATTGTTCTAATTAAATGAGTAATTTGTATCATAAACTTTAAATGAATGTAATATTTTTGGCTTATTAATGTTCAAATCAGAAGTAGAGGATTCAACAAATTGTTATTAATGTTAAAATTAAAAGAAGGATTCAACAAATCATTAAATGCAAGACTAACTTAATACAATAAACACGCTTCATGGACATGCTCCCAAGCAAAGTCAGGACGGGTCTTTATTTTACCCTTTGAGTAAATCCATACATGTGTTCATGAATAGGTCTAGGCATGTGCGGGCTTAATCATGAACAAATACAAATTTTCTCAAACTTGTCCATGGCACATGGACTAGCCCAAGGTGAGAGGGATGAATTAAAGGGATTTGGACTGAATATTTGTAGATCATGGTAATAAATAACAAGTAAAAATTCTGCAATTGACAACAACGTATGCAAATTTTGACAAGTCAATCTCTAGTTATTATAAATCGCATTTTTAAAATATATTTTCAAGTTACCTTAAAAAACTAATGTGTTAAGAGTTCTACAATATAATTAACATCAACTTTTGTACAAATTTTTACAAGTCAATATATAAATTTTGAGTAAATAAAGACTTGGAAGAAAATTATTTGGCAAGATTAGAATATTTTGTTGTTAACATCTGAACACTTAGTTGTAAGTAACAAAATAACATCTTGCATTTATCTCAGGGGTATTTTAGATTTTTTACATCGTAATATTTTTTCGCTAAGGTCTTTTGGGTTTGCAGAAGAATTTAAGAATTATAAGGGACCAAACTGCTATTATCTTCGTTGTGGGGCCGCTCAATGACATTCTCCCTCTTTCTTAAATTAATGTTTACGTCTTCACTTAGCCTGTCTCTTAAAAATCTATTGGCGTTGACTCTTTGGCTAAACAAATCTGCAGTGAGAAGCTGATGAAGCTCTTAGAAATCATTCATATTCAGGCAAGAATCGTCTTCCGCGGAAAGGTATGTACCAGCCCCCACTCTCTATCTTCTATATATTTATTCATCTAAATCTTTCCATCATCGACAAATCTTTTAATTTCTTGATACCACTTTGTGTATTTGATTCACCATCTTCAGCGTTTTCTCTTTAAAATGGAAAGACACACACACACACAGAGATTATAAAGACGAAGAACATTCTGTTCTGATCAGTGATAAATCTAATGAATCTTAAAGTCTGCCAGTGCAGGAGCGAAGTGGTAAAGGTTGTTTTTTCTTTCTTTCTTTCTTTTTTTTCCTGCTTTAACAAGTAATTGATTTTTAGAACCTATGTAAAATATGTATTCCATGTTATATGAAATAATATCCTTAATTCCTGCAAAAAAAAAAATGAGGAAGAAGTTAATGGTGAGGAAGTTGGACTATCTCATGGATAAAATAGTTTTTTTTTTTTTTTTTGCTCTCTATAAACCCTAGTAAGCGTTTGGGCACGAGGACCTCTAGAAGAATACTTTGGTGATGAACTATAGATTTTACCATCTTAAAGTTTTGCTCCATTTACTTTTTGTTCACCAGAAGCTTTTTTTGCCTAGGCAAGTTTCTTGTGCATAATAGAGGAATTTGAAGAGTTTGAATACCGAAGGCTTTCCTAGCTTTAGTTCTCTACTTCTGTTTCTAATAAAGCTATGGATTAAAGGTAAATTTGCCCTTAAACTATAAGATCAAGAGTGTGGTCTAAAACCTTAAACTCATTTTTTGTATAATATTTTCTTTTAACATTTTAAAATAGTACAATATTGTTTCTACCATTAATAAATATTAATTTTGATCATTAATCGATAAGAAAATTACAGAAAATGATCTTAAAATTTACAGGGAATGACCAAGAATTTTTTTGATCATTTTCTGTAATTTTTTATATCCCTATATCTAATTTTTGGCATTTTTTATAATTTTTTTAGTTTTTTTTATAATTTTTTAATTAACTAATGGTTAAAATTAACATTTGTTAAAGATAAGAATAATATTATACCTTTTTAAAATATTAAAGGAAAATATTGCACTAAAAACTATTTTCAAATTCCAGACACTTTGAATCCATAATTTAGAGGCAAATTTATCATTTAATCCTAATACAATTTTGTCACAAGTCAGAAACAATAAATATTCATTCTCTTACATTTTCCCTTTTATAAATAAATTTTCCATTACTAAGGGCCTACTTCGAAGAAGAAAATTAAAATGAGGCTACAATGTTGTAGGCTATGATTTTCTACAATTATTCCTGTGTTATACAATTTTATTTGATAATATAGATCGTTTCATTGACTTCGCATAATTTACGGAAAAATTTGTCAAGTTTATGTTATTGTATCCATTCTGTATAGACTAATTGTAATTTATTTTTGGCTACATGACCTCCATTTATATACTTCTCCATATTTAGGGCATATCGACTGCACCTGATGTATGCCTCAAAAACGAAACACAATCGACCCGATACTTCACAGCCTGGAGGTTAGTATTATGATTTTCTTTGACTTAAGGTTTATGCTTAGTTTTAACAAATCTTAAGAATGTTTTCTCACTTGTATATATAGAACCTTCTAGCACTCTGTTTTGATTGTTAAAAACAGAGGTTACTTTTATGTGGAGGCCAGTTTTTTGACGAACGACAGTAACTAAGATTGTCAGACTTCTTTTTTTTTTAAAAAAAAAAAGAAGTTAAAAAAAAAGATGTAGGGAACTAGGTAATTATAATTAGGAAAAATATAACTTTATATCTCTGCACTACTTTACTTGAGTTTTGTTATAGGTCTTTACATTTTTTTATTTTTTATATTTCAGATCTCTACATTTTTCTTCAACTGCATCTTAGTTCCCTATAACACCACTCGTTGAGAGACCTAAGATGTAGATTGAAAAAAGTAGAGACCTAGAATACTGAAAAAAATAAAAGGATTTATAACAAAATTTGAACGAAGTATGAGAACCCAATGTTATGTTTTGCCTTTTAATTATAAAGGGGTGCAATATTGTGCCCTCAAACATTTTAAAATAAATACAATGTTATCCTAATCAAGATTAGGATGCCATGTGCTCTTCTGCAAATAACTGAATGCTAAAAAATATTCTTTAATCCCATAAGAATAATATTGCCTTTGGTCCACAATATAGGAAGTAACATATCATTTTTTTTTTGGTTAAAAGAAGTTTAGATAAATTGAGTCTCAAAAGACTACCACGATCAGGACATGCTTTCAAGCTCAATAAGCATTTATAGAAATACTTATAAATTAATTACCAATAAGGTCCTCATATTAGCAATTGAATTTAATCTCAAAATTTTGTATATTATGGGCCAAATTCTTATTAAGTTGACTAATTGAAACACCTGTAAGGCTGTAACGAAACATTTTACACTGTTTTGGGATTCCAAAAGCCATTTCTACGACAAATGACAATGGGCTTGAAGGTTGTTGCTTTACCAAAAGTAGAAAGTTTGACAAAATACAGGGCCTAACCCTTTTAGTCATCCAAATGATTAATATAAATTGATAATGAAAGAATATTAAAATAAATAATAAACTAAATATAAGGAGTTGAGTTAGAGTCTTACTAGATCCGAGTATAGCAAAATCTACCTAACTACCCACATGAGTTTAGACTATTAGAGTCTAGACTATGATGCACAACAAATGCACTGAATAGAGAGAGAGAGAGAGAGAAGAAGAAGAACAAACTAGAGAACTATTCATTCTGAGATGTATTCTACCTCCAGCCACTTTTCTCTATTTAGAGTGGAGGGAGGCCACCTCCGAAAAGGAAAATCTAACCAGTAATAATTCACTTCATTATGAAGGGAATAAATTGATTTGAATAGTCACCATTATTGTGGAGGATTACTTTTCCTTTTGGAATTCAATCAAAAATTCTTTAAATTAATTTCAGATTCTGATCAACTCATCATTACCAAATTTATGTCAAATCTCACTAATGGCTCATTAAGGGCGGATTTTATGCAACTTCTAATAGATAATATGTTATCTAGTATTTTAAGTTCCAAAACACAGCCATGTGCCACAACTTATAAGGAGCCCTCTATGGCTATCTCATACCTTCCCTTGCATCTGAAGTTCTGCCGCCTTTGAAAATGGTAAATTGATATGATGCAATCAAATTCTAGTAACATTTGGCACTTAATTTATCATACATTAGCAAACAAGTAACACCACAAAAGTATAAAATGAAGTAAACCCATTAGTTCGTAACAAATCCTTTCTTGCACAAGCATTTGAGGCCAGTTCAAACTTAGTTTACAAACATTTTCTCAAATTCTTAAATAAATCAATCATACAAAAACTCATACAAGTGATGCATAACTTTAACCGTGCCTTATGTCTCCCTTCTAACTAGGTCTCACGAGCTAAACTCTTAATCCGATGATACACCTAGCCAAAAGTACTTGTAGCCCACATAACTATACTCCTCTTCTAAAAGGAAGTGCTTTATGTGCTAATTCCCAAACAAGGGGAAAAGGCCTTACAGAAGCTATCAACTATTTATTGAGTGATGGCATACCATGTGATAATGTACAAAAATACTTATAAGATATCCTGTTATTTCAAACACATCCCCTATAGAGCACTACTATAACATACAAGATCTATGTATTGGCATACTTGAAAAGGATCTGCTATAAAAAAATTGCCTTTTAGTGGTGACTTTTGTCACCATTGAAAACTGAAAAGTCGCTGTTGAAAAAGTTGCCACAATGTCATCGCAAGAACTCTTATTGCTGATTCTATCTACGACGACAATAAAAGTCGCTTCTAAAAGTTGAGAATCGGCAGCGACAAATGTTGCGGTAAAAAAGAATATTTGTCGCTGCAGAAAGATGATCGCTACTGAAAGTTGAGAATAAATGGTGACAAATGTCGCTATAAAAACCACACATCAATGGCGACTATTCAGTCATCACTGAATGTTAAGAATTAGTCATGTCACCAATTTATATTTTCATTTCATAGGTTGTGTCCTCCAAGGTTTAAACCCATGACTTCCTCTTTTTGTGTCCCACTATTTTGCCACTGAGCTAGAATGAACCTATAGTCTATTATTGCATAAATATATATATATATATATTATTAAACTACACAAACACACATATATCTTAAAGATTAAATATTATAAAATATCATTACTATCATTAAATACTTTAATTTAATTCTTTTAATTTATTAAAATTGGAAATTATACTATTTATTTTGTCTAAAGTAAACTATAAATATAATTGCACTACTACAAAAAAAGGAATAAATAATGATTATTTTAGCCCATAAATGATGGTTAATATGCATCATTTATATGGCTGACATTTAAAGTTCTTCTAATAAATAATAGTTATAAAACTATCATTTAAAATAAAATTTTGACAAAAGGCTAGGCCATGTGAGATAATAAATTTATTTACTTGTAATTTAAAGTCACAATACAAGACAATATATGACAGGTAATAATTTACCCGTCATTTAAAGTGACAATAAATGATGAGTAAATTATTTACCCATCATATATTGTCATATAAATGACATTTATTTATATGGTTGTTTTTAAAATACAGGAGCTATTTTTATACTAGCTCTCTATAAAAAGAAATTAAAATAGCAGCAGACAACCATTCTAGATTTGAGTATCAACAAAATTTATTGTATCCAATTTTAAAATTAATCAATAAACATTTCTTAACTAATCTATATCAAGCAAACAAATGTAATTATATAAAGTAAAATATTTTTAAAAATAAACTACCTATTAAAAATATAAACATCATAGCTACTTCTTTGAGGTAGTTCTATTGATCTTCTTTTTATGAGGTCCACACTTGAAAAATGTATTGACACCATTCTTTAATTACCTCATTTATCTCTGCATTCCTGAACTCTTCAACATAAGAATCATCATAGTACTGCAACATATAAATGATTCACCATAAATTAATTGTAATACATTAAATTTTTTTTATAATTTAAAAGCTAATATTGTTAACATACCATCTCAAGAATTATGCTCTTGTTATAGATAATGATATCCTTCATGGACCTCATGTTGCAAAATCCACAATCCAAGCTATTTTTCTTTTGCCTTGGAGACTAAAAATTGAAGAATCGATGAATATGTATTAATGTAGTACATTTCAATTTAATAAATTATTACAATTACCTTTATTATATTCCAAGTGTAGGCCACATCCAAATTTATAAAGGACCTTGGAATTGATTATTTTGTGTTAGTGCAGTATAACACAATTGTCCTAAAAAAATAGTAAAAAATGTTAGTTTGAAATTTAAATAAACAAATAAATATGTGAAATACTTTATGCACTAACGTATTAATCAACTCCAATAAAATTTGTCTATTCCCCGGTTGCCCTCCAAGAGAATAGAGATAATATATCTTTGGAGTATTGCCGAATGGTTCGGTAGCGATCAACATCCAATGGTTCCTAATAGTATTAACAAGTGTTGCAAAATCATAATTAATTGATTAAATTTAAAATTAAAAAATTATTAAGATAAGTGAGAAGTACGTTACCCTTGACAGTATGGTATTATGAATAATGTTCCCTTTCGAGCCCTTGCTTTGAAATATTTGCTTAATGCCTTTGCTTGTTCTAAAATTTTGTTACTTTTAATTAAGGCATGTGCATCCACTTCATGAGGACTAACAAAGATGAACTTCGTTTGTAAATTGAAAGAGACAACAAATTTTGCACATAAGCACCTATTATAAATATTACAAAAGGATTAATTTATATTTAAAATATTAACTATTCATATATGGAAAAAAATTACCATATGTAGAAGTTGAGAACAGTAAGATTGGTCATATCATGTTGAAACACTTTATCAATAACATAAAGCGAAAGCATATCATATCAGACTTTGCCATATATATCAGTCTCAAATAGGATTTTCAAGACTGGAGGATTAGACCTATGAATTGTTGCATACGCATGGAGTATATTTTTTTGTTAGCTTGGCAATTGAGGCTCTTTTTCAAGCATGGTTTTATGGGAGACTGCCTTTTTCGAGGAGAGCCTAGATTAGGGTATTATCTTTTTCTTGGATTGTGCATCTTTACTATTTTTTTTAGACTTGGCATCCTAACTTGACTAGCTTGCCATCTAACAAAACTACTCATCACCTCTCCAATAATCACTGCATCCTCAGTGGGAATAGGTAGCGGATAGTTTATGTCTTTTGGCACATCAATAGCAACGTGTACATGGGACGCAAGCAAAGGCATATTATGTAGCATGTCTCCTGACAAATTAAATACCCGACCAGTAGCAACCACATGAAAATTCAGGATATTTGCCAACAACTCACATATACTCTCACCCTATATTAATAAGTAATATACTATATTAAAGTTATGGAAAATAGAAATAGTGAAACATAAGTGAAATAAATTAATAATATTTTACTTAGGGAGATTTTTAACAGGCTGCATTACACTGTAACTACATTTCTTGATGGGACTAATATGAAACTCTGCCTCCTGCCTCTCCTCGTCCTTTAGCAAAGCTTCAATCATATCCCGTTGCCTAGATAGCTCCTCTTTCAAGGTGGCAATCTTAGCCCATGCACCCACATTCTCTGTTGACCTTGCCTTCTTTTGTGACCCGAATATTTATTTTTTTGAAACATCGAAGCCACATCCCCTAACTCAACTAGCGTGTATGGGATTACCCAATGTCTTGCCCAAGACATCATCATTAGGTGTGCAATATATAGTAAGAAAGTTACATTAGTTGATTAAGTATAAAAGAAACGTTAAGTTAATGTACTTACACACTTGTCAGCAAGCTCCTAAACACATTCATCAATAATGTTTCCTTCTTTATTGGTTCGACCTTCTATGAAGAGTCTGTGACCTGAAATTGAGCTGCCCCTAAACTCTCACTCAATCTATAAATTTAAATAAATTTGAATGTCAGTATAGTACATATATCCATGAAATAAGCTAAAATTATATAGTATACATATTAACATACTAGCTATTGCTCAATTCTTGCATATCCTATGCGCCCCATCTTGTAAGGGTATAGATCTTTTCATACAACTCTTTTCTTTTCTGGCTCAACTTTTGTGCAAAACACATAGAATCAAATCAATAAAACTAAATATATTGACAATAATAAAAATTAATTCATCTCATTGTTCTTACTTGAAATTGTCTCTCGAGACGTTGAGCAACAAATTCATCCTAATGTTCTTGTAAAACTACTACCCTTATCAAGTCGGGGACCTCAGTACTAATATTTCCTCTTGATTTTTTAATGATTTTGCTCCCACAAAATATCAAAATGTCCGCATTTCCTTTCCAACTTGTTGGATGAAAAATTTTATCTGACTAACATCAATTGCAAACACTGACTGTAAACTAAGACAATTAATTAGATTTTTGGTCAAGTAATTTCCATAACCACAACGATGTGAGTAAACTATTTTACCTCTACTTGCTTTTAAATATAATTTTTCGTAGCTAGACTAACATCGTTCCAATGCCTAATTGTAATCGGCACATTTGCTTTTGCCACAACTCTTATATAGCTAATGAATTTATTTTATTGGTCTTGATAGGTTGACCTTTGAAATTTCATTCAACTTCATATTTCTGTCCAGCAGCCCTTCTTCTTTTCACCTCGGCCATTAATGTCAATCCTCTTTTTATATAATTTACTTCTGCTGAATTTATTGGTCATTCATGTCCATCGCTAGGACTAGCAACTACTAGGTCCACTAAGACCAATACCCCTTTGAGAAGCCATTTACCTATAAAAGTAGAAAAAATAAATAATAAATAACAATATAAAAAATAAAGCACATAATAAGTAATTTATAGATTTAAGGTAAATCACACATTATAAAACAAATATAGCACATAATAAAAAATAATAAAAAATTAAATCACACAAAACAAGTAACCTATAGGTTTTAAATTGTTCTTTTTCTTTTCTTGTTCGTTCCTTATCTTTGCTCTCCTTTTTTCGATGAATGCTTTTACCTCTTTTCTTTGAAATCCGAATACCTTCATTGTGATTATTTCTCATATAAAAGGCTTCATCCTCAATGAGGTAACTTTCAAATGATGTCCCTATAATGGATCATCTTCAACTATTAAGATCATTTATATCTTCATTTATTTTACTACTTAATAAAATGATAGACCAATTTACTTTAGCCAGATCAGGAACAAAGAACACTTGTTGAGCTTGTGAAACCAAAATAAAAGGCTCATCTTTATAACCTTCTCTATTAAGATCCACTATTAAGAACCCCAACTTATCAACTTTAAGACTATTTTATGATCAATCCACTTATAACCAAAAATTAATACTTGAAATTTGATATAATGTAATTCCCAAATATGCCCAATTACTCCAAAGTATGACATTTTTGCATACAAGGAATTTTTATTTTTAGTATTAGATATATGCATTTCTTGAGCTATAAGAGTTACACCACTATTTTGCATTATGCTCCGATTATCTTGCTTGTTAGTATAAAATGTGTACCCATTAATGAAATAGCCAATGAAGGAAAGAACTTGTTTATTTGGACCTCTTGCCAACCATTTTATTTTTCAAAAACTAAATCAGGATCGGCAGTCAACTTCTCAAGAATGAGCTATTTTAGCCAGATTGTAAAACTCTTATTATTCTTGTTTGCATGCTAAATGTCTTATCTATTAGGGTTATCTCGCTTAAGCTCGGTCATGTGCATCTCTACATACTCCTCAACCTCTATAGAGTTGTATAGTACATATAAATGTGCTTGTTTCCATTGTAAGTTGGAGATTATATCTACTTTATTGCCCATAATTCCTTCTCCATAAGTTCTACCATCATGCCAAGAAGTTGGAAGACCAATATAATTGACATTTGATAAGTACTCAGTATAAAATTCAACTACCTCAATGTATCGTTCAACGATACAACCTTCAAGCTGACTCCAATTTTTCACATGTCCTTTTAGTATTTTCATGTAACGCTTAAATGGATACATCCATCTCAAAAAAAATTGGGCCACACATTGTATCTCTCTAACCAAGTGAATAATGAGGTGCATTATTATATCGAGGCAGAAAATACATTTCAAATTCACACAAGATTAACACAATTTGGCTTTGCAATCTTGAAAATTTTGTTAGGTCAATCACTTTACTACATATAGACTTGAAGAAGAAACACAATTTTATGGTTATGCCTCGAATCGTATTGGGTAAAATAGAACGTATCGCCACTAGAATAAAATTTTCCATCAACACATGACAATCATGCAATTTTAAACTCTTCAACTTCAAATCCTTTAATGACATAAGGTCCTTACTATTTGAAGAGTATCCTTTTAAAACTTTAATAATAGCAAGTGACTCACAAAAAGTATTCTTTTCTTTTCTAGATAGTGTATGAGTTGCTACACGAAGAAATGTGCGACTTCCTTTCTCTTGTGGAGCCAACTCTTCCCTTATCCCTATAGAAATCATATCAAATCTTGCCTTAATGCCATCTTCAGTCTTTCCCAGAATATAAAGTAATGTGCCAATTAAACTATCGCACACATTTTTCTCAATGTACATCACATCAAGAAAATGTCTCACATATAAGAATTGTTAATATGGTAGGTTAAAACAAATAGATTTTCTTCCATCCACATGTACTAAGATGCTTTATAAAAGGTTTGCCAAACTTGATATTCAAATTCTTCACCTTATCAAAATGTTATTCACTTGTCAATGTCAAAGGTGCCTTACTTTCTCCTGAATTCCCATTGAAAGCTTTTTTTAGGCGCCGATAATAATGATCAGGATGAAATCATCTACGACTAATCTCACTAAATGTATGCCCTCTTCACAAATAGGACATCTGAGTTTTCCTTCAATAATATACCTTGACAAATTACCATATGCTGGAAAATCATTGATTGTGCCAAACAACAATGCTCTTAAATTGAACCTTTCTTCTCTATATCCATCATATACCTCAACACCGTGCTCCCACAACAATTTCAAATCTTAAATTAATGGAGTTAAATATATGTCTATGTCATTTCCTGGCTGTTTTGGCCCTGAAATTAAAATGGATAGCATCATATATTTTTCCTTCATACATAACCATGGAGGTAAGTTGTAAATTACCAAGATAACTGACCATATACTGTGAGTGCTACTTTGAAGCCCGTGTGGATTCATTCCATCAGTTGATAATACGAGTCAAAGGTTTCTATCTTTTGCTCCAAAGTCAAGGTAATTGAGATCAATTTTTTTCATTGAGAAAAGTTAGCTGGATGTCGAAGCTTCCCATCTTTGATCTGTTCATCTGCATGCCATGTCAAATTTTTTGCATCCTTTGCACTACTGTATAAAGAGGATTTTAATAGAAGAGAGAAAGGAAAAAAATTTAATGATCCATTATTTAGTTTGGATGAAATGAAGAAGAAAGAGAGGATTTTAGATATTCCTCCAAATCCCCCCATTTTAAATGAAAGGCTTATGACATAAGAGGGAAGGGAGGGAGGAGGGAATTAAGGGCATGTTTGGTTCTATTTTTTAAAAAGTTAAACTATAAAAAGATTGTTTGGGAATGGATTTAAATGTTTTTGAAATTGTTGTCACTTTTTGTTTTTAAAATAAAAAATATGAAAATAATTTACAGATGTTTTTGTTTTCTTTTTTTTTTTAAAGTATACTAATTCTTTCTACTATCACATATTATCATCATTAACTACTGACAATCATCACTATCGACCATTTTTCAGCTTTAAATCATTTTAGCTTAACAAAGTTAAATGCATTTTTATTTTTTTCATGTTTTAAAAAAATAATTTTTAAAATTTGTTTGCAAAATAATTTTAAAAAACAAGAAACAAGAACAAAACCAAACACAAGCTTGCATTTTCCCTACCCTCCCTCCGATCTTTCTTACGATCAAATTAGGAGAAGAGAGCAAAACCCTTGCTCCTCTAAATCCCCTACCAAACAATACGTACGTTAAAGAAAGGCGTAAGACAACATTCATTCCACCATGCCAGTTTTTTAAATTGAAAAAGAAAAAAAAAAAAAAAAGGGGGCCTAACCTTCATTTTACTATGCAGGTCAAGGGGACATTGTACCCGGCCTAGGTGAAAGAATTGCCAGAAAGAGAGATAAGGTAATAATTTTATGCAATATTTGGTAGATAAAAAAATTATTTCTGAAAAGAAAATGAAAAGTACCTATTCCATTTTCTATCAGATATATTTTTTATTTCTTTTTTAAAAAATATTATGTTTCGTATATCACAATGCAGTTAATGTTTACGCGCACGTTCACATCTTTTAAGAAGTAAAAAGAAAAAAAAAGTGTACAAAATCCAATTTCCTTTCCTGCGACAAAGAAAACCAAGATCTAGTTTTATATATAAAAGGAATTTAATATTTAGTTATCTTCTCTAATTATAAAATTTTAATTATTCAACTTTTGCGTTAGTTAATAGCCCAACATAATTCTATTCCGTTGCTCCTGATCACACGTAACTGTATAAAGAAATGGCAACACGCACAAAGGCATAATTTTTTCTACGTGTGTATTAACTAGCTAAATATTTGCAATATTTTTTAAGTAGTTTTCTTTATCAATATTTTTTTTAATTACTTTATAAATATTTATTAGAATAACTTGAGGAGCCCCTAATAAGCAAGGTAGCCTGCGAAGTTCCACTTCTCAAAATATTACGTTTTACGATCAACATTGCGAGGTCTATATAAATTATTTATTTATATTGGGATTAATTAGCATTATGGTACTAAATACTCACCCATTTTAGAAAGAATATTTAACGAAAACATTGTGTATAGTAATTTGAAATGCAGATATAATCACCGCTCAACATATCAAAGTAGAATAACGTACATTAACTCTTTTGAAAAATATGGAGCAAAGTTTCCTTAAAAAGCATTTGGAAATAAACATTATTCTGATATTAATTAACATGATTTATAACATTATTTTTTCTGTTAAAATGAAAAATTATATTTATAAAGTGAGCTCTTCATTTGCAGGTTAGAATCAAGTACCAGATTTGTAATAAGTCAGGAGACGTTGAAGATGAAGGGGATCCTTTTGAACTGACTTTGGGTGACTATAAATATGGCAAAGGTACGTCTAACTTTCGCTAGCCAATATGGTCTTCAAAACAATTTTCAAAATTTGGACTCAATTGAATTTATTCCTCTTATTTTAAAATTATCCATCAATTTCTTTACGTAGCCATATATTAAATCTTTAAGGCCATTTCATAAGATAAGACCCGCCAAAATGATTGCTTATGCCATTGTTTGGTTGGTGTTTGTGTCTTCTTCCTTTGAATGTCAAAGCCCCTGAAATATGGATATCTACATGCCTATAGAAGGGCATAAGTGTGGAAGAACTTTGAATAATTTCTATAGTATTAAATCAATATTTTTCCCTACTGAGAGCTAATTTAAATTTTTTTAGAATATGCAATTAAATTTATTTTTTCTAATAGAAAAATTTAAAATTTAGAATGATAGAAAACATAAGTACATACTAACTAGGGTTAGTGAGATACATTTTTGTTTTGAACTATTTTTCGAGAAACACCCAATGTCTTAAATTATTTGTTGTAGCAATTTCGCCATGAAAGTAATTAAAGCAAAGCATATTTGCTCTTGACGTTAATATTTCAATGTTGACTGTTAAAAACATTAACTAGGACTTAAGTCTAACCAAAAAATGCCACCTGTTATGCCAAGTAGATTAGAGTTAAGGTGCATTATATTTTTGTCTTTGAACTATTCTTGGTGGAAAATCCAGTGTCATAAACTATTTGTGATTTATCAATTTTTCTCATAAAGTAATTAAAATGCAGCATTTTTCCGAACATGCTCAAATAACTCAGGTGAATTCCTTTTCTACCATTCTTCTTTATTTTTAATTAACATACAACATTTAATTATGGATATTCAAAAAAAGATGCCATCCGGCTTTAATGATAAATTGGAGAGAGAAAGAGATAGAGAAATGATGTGGGAGTACATTAATTATTAGGTAGGATCTCTTTCTCTCAACTAGCCATTCCCATCATCTTTAATTATTGCCAACTTATACATTCTACTATCAATTAATCCCACCTATCCATTCCTCACTAGTAATTCATAGTTTTTCTTACAGTAAAAAATGTTATCCTCCCTCCTCAATTTAAAGCTGGTAGTTTGGATAGGCCAAACTTATTTTTATTTTGATTAAACTGAAAGAAGAAGGGCAGATAATGAATTTGCCTTAGTTATTTACAGATGTTAAAAAATATGTTATAATTTAATTACTTTGGAACGAAATTGCTATGACACAAGTAGTTTAGAAGACTGAGTATATATCCCTCGAAGAATAATTCAAGGGAAAAAATGCACCCCCACTCGGATCAATTTGGAATGATAGGTGGCGTTTTCAATTAAAATTAAGTCCCAATCAATATTTTAACTAACAATGTTGAGATATTTAACGTCGGGAGCAAATATGCTACATTTTAATTATTTTAAAACTAAAATTGCAACGACAAATAGTTTAAGATACTGAGTACTCCTTAAAGAATAGTTTAAGAGCAAAAATGTATCTTAATCCTAATAACTATAGATCATTAAAAGCGATGACAACAAACTTTATCTTACCAAATGAAATCAGGTACATTAATTGTACAATAACTATTTCGATATATCATTCCTAATTGATCATGTGATATTCAATAGCTTCATTGAGTGCTCTTTTTTTCTTTTATTATTATTATTTAATCTTTCTTCACCTCTCTTCATAGAATTAAAGCCCGTCTGTTCAATCATCGTCATGGATGCTTCCATACAACTTGAACGCCATTTTGTATTATCGATCCCAAATACTAGGACTTCGATACTTGTGATATGATCTTCAATAATTTTGACAACCATCCAAATCATTTATAACTCCTGCCTCCTGTTAAAATTGTAGTGCATGTATTTCATCTTACTCTCATTCAAACAAAAGCCTTTTGATTCCAAAAGTTTGTCTCTAAATATAATGCAAGTTTTGACTTCTTCTCTTGACTCTGCAATTAGGACTATATTATTTGCAAAAAGAGCTCGCACCTAGAGATTTCCTCGTGGATGTGCTTATTTAGAATTTTCCATATAACCATATTAAACAAGTGCAACGACTTATGGATGATCTCTTAGTGTAAACCAATCCTCATGGAAGTCCTTTATCTCACATCTTAATGTACTTATACTATTTGTTTCTCTCATTATTCAACACGGACACATTTCTTATGCTAGGATTTTTTTAGTGTTTCTCTTGATTCTCGATTATAAACTCTTCTCATGTCAATGAAAAGAATATTTAGGTCTTTTTCTTTATCTTGATACTTTTCTATCAACCCTTAAGAGATAAATAGCCTCTATTATACGCCATCCTTCCATAAATTCAAATTTTTCTAAAAAATAAAGTCTCATTTCATAATCTATGCGCAATCATTATTTCCTATAATTTTATAGAATGGCACATAAGTTTTATTGCTCAATAGTTTTATCTTCTGAGCGCAATGACATTTGCCCCCTTAATTTATCTTTTCCTATAGTCACTGTGATTTCGCTATCCTCGCCCCCCCCCCCACCCCCAAAAGTTATATCTTTTACGTGGAAATCAAAATACCGTATCGCATCAGGGTCAGTTCTTGTTTTTATAAGATGCTTGGGTCTCCTTTAAAGTAAGCATAATACAACCATATTGATAATACATTAATGCAAAGATCAAGAAAAATTGCTGCAGAATTTGACGAAGGCATCTATGGAATGAAAGTCGACGGAACTAGACAACTTAAGATCCCACCAGGACAAGGCCCAGGAGGTGGAAAAGACACTGGAAAAGTAAGTATTTCGAAACTTGGGTGCATTCATTTTCTTCATCTACTTTTATAACTAAACAAGTTAAACAAGTTCCCATTATACTCTTCTGCTCCTAATTATAAGTCATTTATTTTAATATGTTTCACTGAAACTAAAAAAAATTTAAAATTCATTAACTCTATCCAAAAAATTTATAAGTTATCAACTTTGTGCCTATTAAATATATACAGTTTAACAATATATTTTATCTCACAAACATTCAATAAAAGGTAAAAGCATAAATTTGTGATGAAAATTTATTGACATGACTTATAAATATGACAAAAAAAAAAACTTCTTTCTTTGCTTATAAATAGGATCGTAGGAAGAAGTATTTACTCTAATTTTTTTTATAAGGAGTTACTCTAAATTTTTTAAAATCTATTGACTTAAATTATACTGAGTTATAACCAATGAATCAAAAATATATAGTGTAAATTATTAATTTTACTATTTTTTTAATTTAACAATAATCCATGACCAAACTTTTTTTTTGCCCGAACATTCTCTTGAATTTCATTAAAAAAGAGGAAAGTCTTCGGAACAGTTACAAAGTCACAACGAAAACCAACCTGAAGCAGCAAAATAGTCAAGAAATATCCACAGAAATGAACACAAAAACCAGAAAGAAACTAAACTGCAAAGAAACTAAAAAATTCAATGTTGCTCAACCAACACATACACTCAACATAATTATTCTTGGATATCCTGCAATAAATAACATTTCCTGACTTAACACATGCAAACAGTTGATCTGCATTATATCAGTAAAATTTCCGGACCAGAAACTGACATTCTTTTGAACTTGGCCCAACATAATTATTCTAGACGTTATTCGCGGACTTGACTAGCCTTTCATGATAACAAGATAATGGTTGCTTCATAAGAATCCAAAGCTTAACGGCTAAGATTTGAGACCGTTGTAAAGAAGGAGAAGATAGAAAGGAGGCAAGGAAAAATATGAAAAAGAAGAATAAAAAAGAAATAAATAATGGCAGAAAAGAAGGAGGGGAATTTTAGAGTACTATACATACAAGCCCATATATAATGAAAACGAAAAAAACACAAGTAAAATAGCTTATGATGAATTTTGATCAAGTAGCTGGTTGGCTAGCTTAAGCTATTTTGATACGATGGCTAGCTTCTAGTACAACTATGATTATGTTATTTTCCTGTCAGGGCTCAACTATACTTGGCGATCGATGATATCATTATTACAGGGATAATATAAATTTTAGTTCCTAAATTCTTTTGTAATTTAATCCTTTAATTTTGACTTAATGTAATTTAGCCTTTGTAGTTTATTGAATTAAGGAATTATGGGAATTGAGTTATATCAAGTTAAAAAAAATTATACAAATTGAATTGCTTTGAGTTAAGAAAATATAAGAGTGATATTCGGAAACAAGTACAAGAATACAAAAATAAGTTTTTTTTTTGGCTATCATAAAAAAGAAATCTTGTTAACTGTTACTTCATTGCTCCACTTTCCTTCCTTTTTTTTTTTTTAAGAAGCTGCTCCACTTTCTGTGTCTTCTTTTAGAAGGGATGATAATTTTTTGTTCATGTTTATATCTTCAATAAAAATGTTTCACAGGTTCAGGGGGGTTTTAAGACTTATCGTGTGGCACTTCTTGCTATTTTCGATCCCCCGTCCAGTTCTGGAACTAATCAACATCAAGGACAGCATTAGAGTTCGAAGCCATTTGGTTTTAAGCTTCCTTGTTGTTAATAATCACTATCAGTCATACAGAGTTTAAGACCTTCCTGTGTTTATTCTGATAGAAGAATTTGGTTAGTATTAAACAAGAGATTTCAATTACACTCTCCTGAACCAACAAGTACTTGTTATTATGATGAAAGAAATGCATTTTATGCTACACTTGCGACTGGCCTTTATTGTTAGCGAGAGATATGCGATTTGTGGATATGTAGATATATCTTCTTAGTTAATATTTTATTATTTTGTAATCAGGAACATAAACGATTAGATACTATAGGATTCGTATAGATATTCATGATAGATATAGGAAGATACTCTCTTTGTATATATAGAGTGATCTGAGTACATGAAAGGATGAATTATTCCATTCCACATTTGACGTGATATCAGAGCCAGGTTACGTAAATCCTCTCTGTATTGAATCTCGAACCATCAAATGAATCACCAAAACTACATAGCCATGATGACTTCTCTTCCGCATCCTCTGTGAGCCTATCGTTGTTAACAAAAACAATGCTTCTCTCCCAATCACCATCACCCTTGACGAGACAAACTATAAATTCCGGGCACAACCGATGGAGATGTGAATTACAACATGCAACAAAGGTAGATATTATAATATCCTCCCCAACATTATCAAACTTATCCACTCATTTTTTACAAAGGTAATTAGAAGGCCTTGTATCTTTAAATTACTACTAAACACAAATAAGAAAAATGTAGAAATTGATTCTTTAAAAATAGTTGGAATTCCAAAAATTATTTAAAAACAGTTCAAATAATCTAAAAATATGTATTTATATATAATAGAAGCATATAGGAATGCATAAAAATCATATAATTGAAAATAGGGGTAAAATAATCATTTTTTCCCAAAGGGAACCATATGCTACGGCTTGTGTCACAAGTGCCATTACATATCACACAGAGAACCACTTACATGCCTTTGTGTCGTGCACCGTAGCACACTTGTCCATGACAGCAATGCTGTCATGATAGCTTTTTTGCATGAACTTCTAACGAGCACTATTTTTTTATACGATGTTCGATTAGAGTGATTCAAGTGTCCATGCGAATCTTATTTCAAATACTAACTAATGATATACATTTCATCTCCATCCAATTTTTTTTTAAATTTAGACACCTAGATATAAAATAACCATTTTATGACATTTTCATTCACCTCGAACATCCAAAACCACAATCATGTGTCATTAGCCTTTTTAAAGGCTTTAACCATATAATGGGACATTTTCCACTTGATTGAGCATATATGACATCAAAAACATAGACACAATCGAATTTGTCCACAAATCCACCCTTCAAACGCATAAGGGCCCCTTTTTCACGTAATCACATAATTTCACATATATGGCCAAATTTCAAACATTTAAACATTTACCCACATAATCCTACACTTGTACTAGTATCTCAGCCCTCCTTATTACATTTCACACAAGTTCACATCATTTCATCTCACAAGGCTAAGATACGCACAATATTCACACAAGCACAACACAACACATAGATGTATGCATTCCTATGGTAACTTATAAACATAATATTATTACAACAAACAAGTTCAATACACACAACTTGAAGGGCTATCATAGAAGTCTTGCTACTCTTGGCCCAAGTCTCTTGCTTTCTTGCTACCAACATCATAACATGTAAAATAGTAACCACGGGGTGAGAAAGAGTCTCAATAACTAAAATAATTTAAAACTATCTATTAACAAGTAAAACCATAAACAAATTAATAAAACATTATTATTCTCAATTCCATACATAATCATATTTACACGCATGATCATCCTATCTAATAGAATCTCCACATCACCCCAACTAAACCTATAAGCTCTACTGGATCAATTTTATATGCATTTATCTGAGCACACCTTTAGTGGTAGAATCATTCTGCCAAAAGTGTTATATCCCACTTACAAACTATGGATTCCCCTTATCTCACACACAATCGGGGTGTTGTTACTTCAACACTACACCCTTTTGGGTACTAGGGAGCTCAAATTATGTAATTATAGCTTGGATATCCTATGGTAACAGTCCCTCACATGTTGTTATACCAAACATTCTATGGTGTCAGCTTGATCATATGAATTTTTCATATTACTTCACCTAGGGTAAACTCTCACCTTCTATCATGATCATGCTTTTTATCCATAATAAACAATCACATATTAACATATACCACAATTCACTCATTATTTTTCTTTTTTAAAACAACTTCCTTAAATTATTTTATAAGTCAAATCCCTTTTTCATTCAAAATCATTCAAGTTTAAAAACATGCCAATAAATAATATCATATATCATATTACTCAAATTTACTTATAAATAGTTAAACTAGCTATTAGACATAATGAATTATCCTAATTACCTCAACCTTTCTGTTTCTAGAAAAGTTACTTGCGATACTTTCACTTTCTTTTCTAATATTTTATCCAAACAAACATGTGAGCCACATTAATTTACACAATTTAGCACTACAAGTCAGTTACTAAATTGATCACAAGCATCAATTAACACAATTTACTAAGTTAAACTCACTTGAACACTTAATCACTTTCAGTTAAGAACCTTAACTCTAATTCATCTTCCCCATGCCTTCTAGAGCTTCATTAATCATGCAATAATAATCCACAAAGCATTTTCACCATTTTAAACTTCACAATTTAGGCTAAATCGAACCTATAGCTTCAAAGTTTAATCATTAATCCCTAAACTAGTCACAAAATTTTAGTTTAATACCCAGTAGCCTTTTTATAACTATTGAGTTAGAAAATAACTACTTAAAACTCCCCAATTTAATTTCTATATATCCCAAACCAAGAAAAATTATGATAAAATAGAAGAGTATGAAGATATGAAACTTTTCTAGTAAGTGATAAGTCAAAACTAATTCTCAAGTGCCTGCAAATTGATGTCCTATGTCACGTCCCAAAAATAGAGGGTGACCAGCACAGGATGTGAACCATATCACACATCCCTTAAGCCCTAGATTGAGAAATGTACTTAATTATCCTTAGTCAAGATCAAACCTTCAAATCTAGTTAACGGGAAGAAAAAAGATTACATTGGGAGAGCTACCATCTAGCTATACGAGCCCTATAACACTTACTACTTCATAAATGGACATAAGTGGCATTTAAAATTTTAGTTTCGTGACATTTGTAAAATGCTATAAAATCCAATATGATGATAAGTATTAGGTAGTGTTTTATTAATTATTGAAACGCCACAAAACTAATAAAAGAGCGAGGGCGTTTCTTTCTGCAAACATCACCTCTTTGATTTTAATTTTTTTTTTAAGAAACAAAGAGAGGTAGCGTTTAAACCATGTTAAAACACCACCTCTATTATCTACAGAAGTGGCATTTACAAATAGTAAAAATGCCACCTCTGTATCAATTTTTTAAAAAATTAAAAATTCAACAGAGGTGGCATTTATAAAATGTATAAATGCCACCTCTCTTCTTTTTTCATTTAACAGAACATAGGTGGCATTTCTATGGTAAAGAAACCCTGTCTATGTTATCTTAGTCCAAAGAAGTGGTGTTTCTGCAAGGTAGAAATGCCACCTCTTTGGTATTTTGTTTTGGAAATGGTTAACTTAGGCAACGTTTGTAATATCCTGAATTTTTAATCTTACATTAATAATTGATTAGGGAATGCATTAGTGATTTAATGTGAGATTAGAGTTCTGGATAGTGAAGTATTGTATTGACTTGTTAGAATATTATATGAACAAATATGAGAGGAGGAATGAGGTTCCATGATAAAGCATGTGAGTATGTGCCATGCGCCGCCAGTGGAGGATAGATGTGCCGCCTAACCCAATCTGTATCCTAAAAAATTGCAGAAATAATTCAAAAATCCCCAACCATTCGAAATCAAGCTTTACAGACAAGGTTGATACATTTCGAAACCAAATTTTCACAGTGCGGTGTGAGAAGCTTGATCAAAAACCAGAATTTAAAGTATGAAAATTAATCCTAAAATTGTTACCGAAATGGGTGTCTTCTTCACCTTCAATCTTTCAATTCGATTAGTCTTTGATCATTCTCTTCCAACTCTTCAACTCTGCCCGTGTCTTCCTCAGAACACAAATCTCCAACCATTTCTCTCTAGGTCTCCTCTTTCAGTTACTTCTCCAGAAATTTCCTAAAAATCCCTCAGTCTTCGGTTCTCTCCCTCTTGAAAATCGCCCTCAATCCCAAATTCCTTAAGCGCTCGGTCCTCTCTCAGTTCTCTCTCTAAAAAAACCCCCTCAATCTCCTTCCCGTTCTCTTTTTCTGGTCTCTCTTGTTCTTAGTCTTTCTTCTCTCTCCAAATCGCTCTCTTCTCCCAAAAATCCTCTTAATACTTCAGTTTAAACTCTCGAAATCCACTCGATTTTTCTCCAGCAAATCCCCCTCCTTAGCCTCTCGGTTGCAGGCTTTATATATGCAGAGTGTGATTAATAAATCTAAAATCTTACCAGATTTAGCTTCAAAAGTTTGCGTGGGGGATGGAAAACTGATTGCGTGCTTCACTCCTCTCTAATTACTACATCCAGTGGCGTTCTTGCGCCTGTGATTCTGCTCTGTTCGCTTGTGTGTGTGACTGCCATCTATATGCGTCTGCTCTGCTCTTCCTCGTGCGTTTCCTTCCTTCCTCTTTCTCTTTCGTCTGGGTTCCTCTGCTTCCTCTCTACGTGTGGCCTTTAGCTTTTTGGGCTGTGGGTATGTGTGACTTTGCTCTTCTCCTTCGCACGCGTCTGGTCTTTGCTCTTCCCGGTTCCTTTCTTTTCTGCCTTTTGGTGCCTTTTCTTCTGGGTTTCTTCGTTCGCATGTTTCACCGAATGAAGGATTTTAGAAGCCGACGGGTGAAACCCAACGTTTAACCCTTTGGTTTATATTATTATTTTTTTTCCAAAAAAACTATAATTTTTTTTTTTACTTTTTAATCATGTTTATTAATTTCAGAAATTAAGAAAAAAAATATTATTTTGAAATAAGCAAGCATATCTTTCTTTTTTAGGAAAAAAACAAAATTTAAAGGAAGAAATTTTAAAAAAAAAGTTGATTCTCAAAAAGTTAGTTCCTAATATCTTGAATAGTTGAAATAATTTGGGTGAGCTTTTTCAAACACTCAAGCAA